GCAAGTAAGCCGATGACGAGAATTGAAAGATAGGTGATCACAGTTCAGGCTTGTGGATACAACCACAGGGGCGACAGGCACGCCGCACTCACACCTGTTAGCTCTCGTAAATCCATCCGGGGATATTGAACCGAAAGCTGTAACCGAGTTTACGTGTCTGCTATTCTAAAAAAACGATATCCAAAAAAACAAACCCTTGAGCCGAAAATAGATAATTGAAAGAGACGTGTCGTGGCTTGCCTGATATCACTCCAAATCGTACCAGTTGTTATTTTAAATAGGCTCCACGGGTACTGGTATGGTGTAACTATGACAGTATAAATGACGTCCTTGTAACGATTATAACAATTTAAGCCCAGTCACGTGTTTCTAACAGTTCAGTAACGGTACCCAAGCATCGCGGCCACGTGCAATTAAAACGCACAAATGGACACACATAGTTGACTTAATATTTACTTAAAAAAATACGGTCAGGGGAAAATGTTAAGAAAACTCACCATATCTGTCATGATCCCTAGCAGTGCCCCCAATCGTGCCGTTGGGAAAGATTTGGAGATGGTATCCGCTCTGACAATAGTACTGTCTGTAGTGAGTAGCGTCCACCACGGCTACCATCTCTTCCAGAGTAATATCAGTGTTGAAAAGTAACCAGTCACCGTCGTCGTCATTTTTTAAACCGTCTTCTAGCGAAGTGACGACGATGCAGAGCTCAGCAAAAAACGATGTTAACGCTATCAGCTTCATCATGTCCATGTGTGTTTTACTACAGTCGGGAGATTTATACGCATGGACATGTCTGTACATTACAACAACTACAAAGCGCGCCCCCTATTCTATAGAATTGCTTAATGTATTCCTCCCACTACGCTATACAACGCTGTAAAGGTGACAATGTAACAAAGCGAGAGGTCGAGAGCACGTACAGACCAGAGTCCCCATTAGCACTCACTTTAACAAATAAATAACCCAGGTACGTGTACGCTTATACTTAGATTAAGTAGTGGCTTAAACCGAAGTTGACCACAGTGTATGCATACAAAACTACAACGTAAGGGCTACGGAAATACTGAGAGGGCACAGTAAAGTATAGCGTCGCGTCGCGTATTGAGTCACAGTGGTGGAGACGTACTAAAACAACTGAGATTTTCGTACTGAAATCTCAGTTGCGTGTTTGTGTGTGGATGTGTTTGCGCAGAAACTACAGCGTTCTTTGGCATTCCACACTGAACTGTGTACAGTGAACTAGTGTATTCATGTAATCCACAATAATACGCTCAATAATCAAGGCAAAACAAGTGGTCATATGATCAAGTGATAAATTACTTATGTGCCATCGTGTCGCCCCCTGGCGTGCGTCTTGTCATGATTTTTTAGAGGGAGTGCCATAACATGGTTGAGGGCGTGGTGGTAACCATAACTTTTAAATACCATTTACTTTTATTTAGCGGAGAAGTAACCATGCATGCGGCATGCCTTATTGTGGCGTATAAGTTTTTGTACCAAATATAATATAATTAAATATTATCGCACTATATTTTATGCTATTTCATTTTTAGCCAAGATCATACCTGAGATGTATAATCTATAACGTTATTCAGTTTTGCATATTTTTTTTGATTGAGCTAGTCAGCTGAAATCGAATTATTAAAATTAACATACTGACACATGGTGGCGCTGTTGTGTCTGATAAAAAAAATACATGTGATGTCGAAGTGAGCCTCAGAATTAAGGAACTAACGGAAAAGGCTCGCAAAGTTGTTTGGTTCGTCTTGTTTTCCGCTCCTGGAGATCAAGTAACGAAGGTACGTGGAGGGAAGACACTTGTTTAGGACCATCGCAAGGCTCAGCTGTTTAAAATTAATGAAATATTTGCCATAAAAATACTGTAACAAGGGAATCATGAAATGACATATACATGTGAATGATAATATGTCATCTACATGGGAGCCGTGAAATAACATATTCACAGGAGTCATAAAATGCCATACACAAGATCGTGAAATTGCATATGCACGGGAGTCATGATATGGCATATACAAGGAAGTCTAGAAATGGCATACACAAGAGGATCGTGAAATGGCATACACAAGGGAGTTATAAAATGGCATACACAACAGGATCGTGAAATGGCATACACAAGGGAGTTATAAAATGGCATACACAAGAGAATCGTGAAATGGCATACATAAGAGGATTGTGAAATGACATATAGTACAAGGGAGTCATGAAATGACATACACAACAGGATCGTGAAATGGCATACACAAGGGAGTTATAAAATGGCATACACAAGAGAATCGTGAAATGGCATACATAAGAGGATTGTGAAATGACATATAGTACAAGGGAGTCATGAAATGACATACACAACAGGATCGTGAAATGGCATACACAAGGGAGTTATAAAATGGCATACACAAGAGAATCGTGAAATGACATACACAATAGGATCGTGAAATGGCATACACAAGGGAGTTATAAAATGGCGTACACAAGAGAATCGTGAAATGACATACACAATAGGATCGTGAAATGGCATACACAAGGGAGTTATAAAATGGCATACACAA